TTAGGCCTGGCCTGAGAAGCCGACTCTGGACCCTATGGGACGGTGTATGCAAAACCCCCTTTTATGAGGCTGTGCAGTAGGTTGGAAATTGAGGCTACTTCTCTGTGTGAAAATGGCCCATGTGGCTCAGATCCTTTAGGCAATAGAGGGATGTCCCATTCTTACCTATAGGATTTCTTTCTTTTTTTTTTGGTCTATCACATTTATTATTGTAAATATTTATACTTGGTCGTTCAGTTGCCTTCAGGCATAATGAGTCTATGCTACTATAATCATAGGTGTTTGATAAATAGATTGAGAAGTTTGGCTCTAGGATTTCAAGAAGCAGGTATCTCGGCATGGCGTCCTTGACGCTAGTTAACAAAGCAGTTGCCACAGGTTCATGTGGAACCAGCAGGAGTCATAGCCAGTGAGTCCTTGTGTTCCTCCTTTAGAGCATACCTGACATGCACATGTACAAGTTGTACTGATGTTTCATTGAGAATGGAACACATGTACCAGTAATAATAGCCCACAGGGCCTACTGAGCACTTACTGTTTCCCAGGTACCGGTCAACAGTTTACAGTGGGTGTCTCATTTCACTGACTACTCTGAGTGTTTAGACTCTGAATGGGTCTGAGTATATTTCCAGCTTGGTAAATCTCAGCCTTTGGAGGCTAATTCACTTCCTTCCCACCACAGACCCAATGCCCCCTCCCTGCATTTGTACAGAAATTCTTCCAGTGAATGTAGCTTTTTAGAGGGAACCGTTTTCTTATTTTCCCAGAAGTCCATCAAATATACTGAATTCTGCCCAGCTGGCGTGGCTCAGTGGTCGAGCATTGACCTATGATCCAGGAGACCGTGTTTTGATTCCCAGTCAGGGCACACACCTGGGTTGTGGGTTTTCAGCTCGATCCCCAGTGGGGAGCATGCAGGAGGTAGCCAGTCAATGCCTCTGTCTCATCATTGATGTTTCTCTCTCTCTCCCCCCTCTCCTTTCCTCTCTGAAATCAATAATGTGTGTGTGTGTGTGTGTGTGTGTGTATGCTGAATTCTGCTCCTTTCTGTTCTTTCTTCCACCTAATAGATGTTTACCAGTCTCCATATGCACCCAGGTGTACAAAGATTCAGAAGGTAGGATCCTAGTCAAGGAACTCCCACTCCAGCAGCATCTCTTCATTCCAGCACACCACTGACCTTCTCCTGTCTAAGCCTGGTTCAGGTAGAACTGTCTCTACCTTTCCACAGCTCCTGCTCC